CTCCCCTATAGACATTTTTTTTAATAATGTAGGCAATAGTGTTACCCATGATACACATAGAAATTCATAATTAATATCAACCTCATTTTTTTTCATTTGAATTTGTTTCCATGTACACCACCACACTATTATGCTATAGGATTTATATTTTAATCATAAGAAATAGAAACTGTTGATCCTTTCTACGCGAATTAAAAATGTAAAGCACAACAACAAATCAAACTAACACATTCGTAAAAATTACTATTAATTAATAAAATTAAGAAAAGGTACAATTGGAGTCCATCGAAGCATCCATAGAAATGCATATATACTAGCAGTGGCGATTCTTTATTTGCATTGTTTTGAAGGCCTAAGTCAACATAAGATTTTTTTCTTTTTTTTTTTTAAACAAATAAATAATACAAAATAACGTAAAATTCCAAAATCCTGGGTGATAAAAAAAAATCGAGAAGAGTATGCATTTATTTATAAATGATACTCTCTCTTTGTAAATTTTGTGTATTTTATTGGGTAGTGTAAAAAAAATACCACTGTTCAAGTAGTAAACAAGACTTTCCTGTGACAAGAATATTGAAAAATTGTGCATTTGATTTGTATTCTTTCCGACTTTTTATTCCCAAAATTAACACAAGAAACAACGGTGAGTCATGGAAAACCGACTATTAATAGAAAAAATCAATGAGAAAAACCCCATGCATCAAAGGTTACCGCTCAGGTCAAACTCTATGTGCGCATCCTCTGTCTACATCACCAGAATTCAAAATACTGGCGGAGAAGTACGTATGATGACATATGAATGATGCTTATTTTATATTGAAGAATGCTTAAACTAAAGGTAAGGGATATTTTATGTTTTATATAGTTTATTTTTTTTAAATTTCTTTGTGTTGATTATAAGCGTAACATATTCAGGTGTGAGCAGGTGTAGAATGAGTCATACACGAACACAGAATAAAAAACATTAAAGTACAATATGATGGCTGTTGTTGAATTTTCTCTCCATACACATCACCTAAAATAGATAAAACATATATTTTTATCTTTCAAATAAATTCATGAAATATTATAATGCATAATAAATTATAAATAAACTTGTTTTTCTACAATTCTGATTAGAGTTATCACTCTTTACACATTCTTATTCAGTGCCGCTTTGAAAAAAAAAATTAAATGAACATGAAATAAATGTTCTAATTATAAAAAATTTATCCTTATATTTCATTAAAAGTGTAACAGATCTAGAACAACATTTTTTTATGTTTATTTCATATAGGTAAGTTAAGTACTTATATACACGATTAATGAGCCCATATCGGTTGTAACCATCGCTTCACCTATGACATTTTATATATCATATGTATCTATTTCCGTGTCAGGTCTACCCGAAGTAATATGTAAATCATGATTAACTTAAAAGAGAGACTTATTGATCAAAAGCCTGCGAGACAGGAATTATCTATAATTAAATACGGGGAAACATTACGCCCAGGCTATCAACCCTAACGATCGATTTTAGAAATATTTCATCAATACGGAATATTTTCCAGAATAACAAAACCCCATTTCCTGTTAACAATGCATAGATTTTTTTTTTATATAAAAAGAACCCGAAGCAGTGAGATGAAAAACGATTTTTACAAAAATTACGTAACTGCCAAGCACCTTATGAAGGGAAAGGCAGACTTTATTTCAGAAATCAAAAATATCTTAGAAACAATAAAGATTTTGATTCTGTGTAAAGTGAGCTGTCAAATTCAATTGCTTCAGGCTCTTTCAAACTTCTCAATTAATAGCTTGATGTAATAAATCCTTTAGTATTTGTTTTCATTTTTCCATGGTAGTTATAATGCAGTGCACATGTATTGAACAATGAATCATGTATGAACAGACGAGGGTCGATATAAACACCAAGTCACTTCACGGTCCCCATATTACATCATCGCCGCCATCCCGAGCCGTTCTAGTCGACAACTCCAACAAAAAGTGTATCCACGGCTCCCGGCCAGACACAACAACCCTAAAACAGAAGGATTCTCATTATGGACGGAAAGGAGCAATCAAAGATTACGTAGAGTTACGATCTACCAATTACCTCCATCGTCCGGAGTCAGGAGTTGATATAAGCTCACAACCTCATCAGACCACGACAAACGATAATAATTCCTCTGGAGAAAGCGTAGATCACGTCATTCTTCTCTCTGGAAACGGTGCCACTCCGAAGTTAAGTTCTGATGGTCTTTCATGTAAAGGAGACAGAGCCGATGCTGCTGCATTGTCTGTTACGAAATCACTAAAGAGCAGATGTACCTGTAAAGAGGGAAAAGAAAATGTGAGATGTAGCGAGATAAATGACAAGATTCTGAACAAAAACATTAATCACCGTGTTATCAAAAACAACAATCTTCCAGGATCAATTCCATGTCAAAAAGTTACAAGTCAAACTCTGAATCATAAAGTTTGGCTTGGCCGAGTCCCAACAGATAAAAAAATAATATCAAGAGACACCCCACCGACAAAGTCAGGATTGTTTTCTCCTAATTATACAAGACGGGGTCAGAGAAACGAAAGTTTGATACCAAAGTCAACTTCTAGGACAGTTCCACTTCATGCCCTAAATAGATCTCCATGTTTCAGCAAACGAGATTCCAAGATATTGGATAATTCAATTAATTTGGTTACCAGTATACCTCAACAGTATTCGTACTTTAACTGTCAGAAACAAACAGATGCCGTTTCTAAAAAGAGATCAATCCATGGCAATACAATAAAGAGGATATCTGGGAACGATGAAATAAAGCATGCACATCTATATGCAGACTCCCAAGGACAAAGACGTAGACTAAATTCATCAAGAGAGTTACTGGAGGGAAGGAATTCCAATCGACGTACTGCAAACGATACAAAGAATTCACTATTGCTAAATCCAGTGCGACGTGACTATGAACATTATGACAAAGTTCGTGTCAGTTGTAACAGTTATAAGACAAGAGTAATTACTTCGAAATGCCATGGAAAAATATACGCTGGGGAAATGAAAAATGCAAATTTGACAAACTCTTTAGATATGAATGGTGAATTGATAAAAACTAGAACAATAGAAAAAGTAGTTGTTTCTAAGAACTTAGAAATCTCGGGTAAAAAGCGTGGGACTGTTTATAGCACCAAGGATGGAGATGTTGCAGTCTCAGATCGCAGTCTAAGAGAGTACCGTGTCCCACTCAGCAAGCTACAACCTAACAGAACCGTATCGACGACAGGAAAAGGAAGCCGTCCTGATAATCTGCATAAACGTTTACCTGTATTACCTACTTCACCTGAGAAACATTTAAACGACGGAGATAAAACAACAAGCCTTACTCAGGAAGGACAATATACGGATGGTGGCGCGCGAGGACAGGACGTGTATTCTGGCCGCGGGGACAGTGACCACTACCAGACCACACACCCACGTGTAATTAATAAGGACACAGATAATCAAAGACAAAATCTCAGGAGTAGTTCCGAACACCGGATTGGGTCATACATATATTGGGAGAGTGATACACGTGTAAGCCAAAACAGTTGTGTAGGGAATAGCGATTATGATTATCATAATGATTCCACATTATCGAGAAATGTTGATGGAATAATTAATTGTGTCGGACATCCAACGGAGATTTATGAAGATTCGTTAAGTCCAGATGGAGAATGTGAAGTGAAAAGCGAGACGTGTGGCTTTAATAATATACAAGCGCTTCAAGGTAAGTTGTGTATTATTTACATTTGAAAAATAATAATTTTTGTTGTGTCAGACCAGGCGTGTGCATTTTTTAACACCGATAATAATCTGTGCGTTTGTTTCAGATCACGCTTGGGAAGATTTGGACACTAATCAGCGTAATAATTCTGACATACACAAAGCGAAGGATCAGATTGTTTTGTGTCAAACTGATAAAGAAATAAAAGGTGCACAGGGGTATAAGGAAAACACTGGAAATGAAACCCTGTGTCAAGGGGATTTAAAGGGACAGCCATCAGGAAATTATACCACAAGACGGGATCAAGGATTAATAATCAGAAGACGGGACAATACGGCCGATGGATTACCATTGATAAGTGATTTTAGCAGAGGAAATGACTTTAAGGAACCGCGACCTTATTGTGGAATGAACACACAACTTGCACAAACTGGAAATCACTCGAGTGAGGTAGGCAACAACGGAACATCTGTTGGAAAAACACTCAAGAAAAAAGGATCTACAGACAATTCACGTATTAAAAGCATTATAAATATTAAAAAGACCACGGAACTAAATAAAACACGGAACCGGAAGCCTGAAGCTCTTTTACAAAGAGATAAAATAAAGGCTGCATCAACCAACACTAAGGAAACTGAATCTGAAAGGAAATCTCTAGACAAACTTGCCTGTTCTGACACTCAGAATCGTATCAAAAATCAAAGTCAGGTAACATTACATGCAAAAGCCGAGACTTCAGAGCAACTGAATGTGAGTGAATATCTGAGAAAGGAACTTGTTCGAACACCTCCTGGGCTGGCAAAAAATCACAATGAAGCAGGTAAGACGAGCATTCCATCTACGTGTAAACGTCCAGGGTGCAAGCATTCGACATTGATAGGTTGCAAACCAAGGCAAAAGTGCTCCCTTGCCAAACATTCCCAAAGTTATCAGAAAACCCTACACTCATATACTTTCCCTGAAACCGCTAATAAGGATGAGACATTAACATGTAACGGTGCATCACCTGTGGCGAGTCCATCCAGCGCTAGCATCACGGAAACCATTTCCAAGGAATCGGAGAAAGTCGGTGATAATACCTGCTGTGAAATTATCATACGTGCACACTGTAATTCTGCGGATTTCTCCAGACAACAGGAATCGTCTGCAGACAATATAAAATCGGATGTATGTTTTTACCAGACCACTGTAGATGGTAGTGAATTGAATGATATAAATGTCAACAAAAACAATGGAAAGCCGATTACCGTACCTGCCGTGGATATTAATGGATTGACTTTACAAAGTTCACCAAATGAGAATATTAAACAGTCTGGCAGTGCACCAAAGCAGTTGACACACAATTTCGAAGGACGTAAAAATGAGTGTGAAGTCAGTCTGTATCAAATCGGTGAGTCAATTTACTTAATAACTAGGCTTCTTAAAAAATTAAATAAATCAGATAATTGCTAATAAGGTCATAAATATTCAAAAAATTATGTATTAAAAAGGATATTAAGAGAACCAAAGAACAAAAAAGTGATAATAACTAAATAAAAATTCAATTCCTTTGGTCATTACAGATAACCACGAAAGCATTATGGATCCCCAAACAAATAATGAGATGGAGATTGGATGTGATAGTGTCTCAAATGATAACAACAAAGGTCATGAAAGGGGAACTGATCAGACCAGCATTGTGCCTGATCATACACAATTACACGGTTCAAAAGAGGAGCGAACGAAGCAGTGTGTATCGATACAGAGCAGTGAACAGCAACGACAAGGATATATATCAACATTAGATAGTATGAATAAACATTTAGATGCGGAACAAAGGCATAATAGAGGAGGTAAAGACACATCAACTGATAATGAAAGGAAGAACAAAGAAACGAGGGATGAAAAAGCCATTAACTTAAAACCGGTTAAGGCAAACACGACTAGTCTTATCGTCAAAGATACAGGTATACAGTTAAAAGATGACAAGAAATCGTTGACAAGCAGAAGCGGTAGACAGAACATCAGTAAACAGTCTACCAAAACTAAAGCAACAAACAGGCAGTTAGCAAGCTCAGTTTCAAGTGTTCCTGTTCCAAAGATAAGTAGACTTCAAAATACAAGAAAACTGACAGGTCAATCAATTGGCGAGATCAAAGGCACTATAAAATCACCTGGCGGGTCGATTTGTGCTTCTTCACCTCCTGACAGTTGCAATTCTTCAACTAAAACGTTCAGTGAGGGCAGTAATTCGCCAAGGTCTTCAATGGAAAGGTCAACTGAATCAGACCCTGTAGATCCTGATACTCCTACACCAAAGAGTCCCAAATTACGCATTCATCAAACAAAAACCTCACGTCAAAGAGCCAGGAATGCCAAGAGTCCAACAGAAACAAAGCACTTAATACTGTCTGAATCAACCGAGCTAGGACCAAAAGCTGCAAATTCCAGCAAAGTATCAAAGAAAACACCAATATTGACAAGAAAAGACATTTCTAAAAATCAGGACTGTGTGAGAGCAAGTTCTCTTAGCCCTCATCTTGCCGTGACACGAAAATTAAAGTCTACATCTGTTAGTCCTGTACTTCAAAAGCGAACAGTTACACGTACAACACATAGTCCTGACCTGACAAAGAAGGCCGTTAAGAGTCCTAACTTGTCTAGGCAGAAAGTAACAGGATTGGCTGTCGCTTCAAGGCGCGAAAGTCGGTCTTCGAGTGCTAGTCGATCAAGCAAAGAGTCAACCCCAGATAATTCTTTGAACTTAAGCTCCACATCAAAGGCTACTTTACCTTTAAGAGGTCAGAGCGATGCGGCGAAGAGGCCAATTACTTCGTCATCAACAAACGATAAGAAACAAACATTTCTACCCGTAAATTCTTTAAAAACAAGTAAATTAAAAATCCCGTGTGCAAATTCAAAACTTCAAGATAAAACTGGACAAAATAAACCTTCAGCGTCTTCTATAGGTGTTAAAACACAAAGAAATGTTATTCCTGTGCGAAAAGCCAGAACAACAACGTTACTGAAAAGCCCAAACGAAAGTCCAAACATGTCCAGAAAAACTGATAAAGCAAAGAGTGGACTTCCTAACAAATCAAACGAAAGCAATCAAAACAGTCTAAGAGTGAAATCAGGTCAGACAAAAGAACATCAACCTGATCTTAAGAAAGAAACAAATGAATCGGATAAAACCAAACATGAATCAAAGGAAGAAGAAGTTAAGTCTGACACAAATATACAAAGAAAAACACAATCTACAAAATCTGATGTAAAGCATGACCAAGAGAGCAAACAAAATTCTCCAGCATTGCCCAAAAAATCAACTAGTCCAGTTCCTGAAACAAGAAAAATTGTAAGTCCTCAAGTCAAAAGAAAACCTAATGTTAAGAGTCCAATTACAAGTAGAAAGCCTACAAGTAGCAGCATTCTAAAGAGTCCGGAACTTTGTAGAAGTAAAACAATCAAGGGCTCAAATATGCGTGAAACTGCAGTGGAAAAATCAATGTTACCGAAATCAATCAAAGCCCCTAAGAAAATTGATGAGAAAAGTAGCAGTAGAATAGAACAAAAGGGAAATGCTGAAGTGATTATAAAAGATAACAACCACCTCCCAATAACAACGTCCAAATTGGACAGCAAAAGAGTAATCTCACGACCTATTTCTAAACAAAAAATAACTGGTGTTCATAATGCATCAAACCCGAGTTCTACCCTGAGATCCAAAACAATCGCACCTACCTCCATTCCAAAGACTCTGCCGACAAAAGCTGCTAATCTCTCAAAATCTCATTCTGATGCCAAGTCTAATATCCCCGCGCCTCGTACATCCACCCCTATACTTCAGAGTTCCGCAGATATGCAAAGGAAAAAATTATCGACAACCAAAACAACTTCTTCAAAAAACAATATAAAGAAACCTCCAGATATGAAGATAAAAACAGATATGAGGCAAGTTGAGAAAAATATTTCAGGGAAAAATGATAAAATCAAGCGCATGCGAAATGAAAAAATGAACAAAGAAAGTTCTACAACATCCCCATATTTATCTAGAAAATCACCGAACATAAATGTTAAAAAGCAGGAATATACAACAACATCAGATGAAAACAGGTGCACGCTATCAATGGCAGAGGACGGTTATAGCGAAACTATTAGCTCAATTTCAACAGATAATCTAACCCAGAGATGCACAACTGACAGCAGTCAAATTTCATCAGACGTAATTAAAGAAAAAAAGAGATGTGAGGAATTCGTGTCCATTAATTCATCAAGTACTTTAGAAACCAATTTTGGACAAAAAATCAATGAAGCTAATAAAGCTGGAGACGTTTCCACGTCCAGTGAAGAATACTGGTCCGCTAGTGACGATGAAAATTTGGATAATTTATCATCCCTAGATATTACACATTCCAATAAAATACAATGTTTCGGACCTTCACAGGCTTCTTATCAGGATTTGGATCTGGGAAAAAGATTAGGAAACACTAAAGAGGAATCAAGCGTGGCCGAATTCATAAAAGATGAAAATGATTTCAATAAGGACCGTGAAAAATTGTCGCCTGCATTAGTACCACATGGTTGTATCACTGGAAAAGAAGCATCCATTTTACACAATAATGAAGAAATGGCTATGCGATTACCTGCAAAAGAGCAATTAAGAGAAAGTCAACATTGCAATTACCATGTGCAAAATGCAAACGACCATGAAACTAACCTTAAATTTAACAGCAAATCGGACGACAACGACCATGTAATTGCAAAAACAATACCGCTACTTGAAAATGATGTACATAAGGATTCAACTGATTTAATACCTTCAAATATTACTCATCCTTTGAATCATGAGCCGGATCGTGAAGTCTTGAATGTAAATAGTGTGCGACTGTGTAAAAAAGATAAGAACCAATATGTGTCTACAGATATTGAAACAAAATTGCAGGAGCTCACAAATTTAAGGGATTATTTTGATGAAAGAAATGATAACTCCAAGCTCCCAGTAAATGAAGGCAGCGAGGGGGCTTCTCATTCGGTGCAACGTAAAAAGTCTTTTGGCAATGATCAATCAAAAAATACTATGGATAACCTACCCAACTTATCATATGAAAACTGTGTTTCCGCACAGCAAGGAACCATGGATGGTTTATGTAGTTCAAGTAATGAAACATCGGATCTGAGGTTCAGTTCTGATTCCTCGACACTTGAAAAAACACTTACTTCGACCAATGATGAGGAAAAAACCGTCAACTTAGAAAATATTGCACTAAGTTGCAAAGAAAGTACATCTGATTCTGGACCCCAAGTGGAGGATTACGACATAAAATTAAATTCCTATCAAAATGCTGATAACTGCACATCGGGAGAAAACCTTACTGCAAGTGAACCAAATCCCACGAACCAAAATTCTTCAAATTTAAGCCATACAACGAGGACAGATTTAGAATCAGTGAGTTCAGATACTTCGGATCAAGAGGGCTTTGAATCCTTTGATTCTGACAGAGAGGACTCAATGATGGAAAATGGAAACTGTGATATCAAATTCCCGATGGATAGTAAAACTATCACTGCATATACAAACAGCAACATGGAAATACAAAGAGGACCCACCAAGCGAATCACGCGACAGCGGAGAACATTTACGCGCAGTGAACGAACGGCGCGATATGAGACTGTAACCACAAAAATTTTGAGTCCTAAACAATGTGAATGTGTTCAAGAAACTTCGGAAACACGTGCATCCGAACTGTCTGTCAAAGCAAACGAAATCCTTCAATCAAGCAGCTGTGTTGAGAAATCGAGTCAAGATATCCAAGTTACTGCATATACAATTTCTAGCAAGGTGAAAGAGAATTTCATTAATGATGAAAAATCTTTGTGTTATGATCACAGTATAAATAGTTCATCTTCCTTCCGGAATGAACAGAACACAGATTTAATCGGAACTTTAAGAGAGAAGGAAGGTGAAAATATAGATTATCATGCACACAATTATCAAAATTCAAATACTCAGGAAGTACTGACATATAGTGAAACAACAACGCAGGGAGACACGCAGCATGTTTATGCTAGTTTTATTCTCGAAGACAAAACCTGCCAATCGGTACCAAAATATTCGTCAAATCGACTTTCAGATGTCAACATAGTTCTAAAACTTCAGCCAGATGAAGACTGGGTTAATATTCAAAGGAACTCTAACGGTGCAATAGGTAATGACATTCAACATGAAGTGAACTTCACATTAGATTTAAGTCCAGATCAAACTAATGATTCCGATTCTCCAAATACCAACGTGACAAAATCCAGTTCATGTGAATCTGCCAATTCCGAAGATATAAAACTGTGCGGTATATCCACGGGAGATAAGAGGAATGATTACAGCAAAAGTGAATCAACTTCTTTGAAGATAACTGATGTCAACGAGTTTCAATGTAGGCAAAGTGGGATTAAGCCTCAGGTTCACGACTTTCTTATTCAAGAAAGTAAAGAAATAAATACTGATAGATTATCTGATAACGAAAATCATAACGAAAGCAATGTCCAGATTTCCGATATAACAGGTGTTACACCTCTAGACAGCCAGGAAATACCGCACAATAAAACAGAAAAAACCACTAGGGATTCAAACAATCATGAATTGATTAATGACGATGCAACTACAACTAGTCCTGGAACTCCTAAAGAAAATAAATTTGAACTGAATGTATTGCCTGAAAACAATGACATTGATGGTCAGGAATGCAATCATGTAAGTGATAATGCTAATACACAATCAACATCTGTAACAGATTTAGGCAGTAGTGCATTATCTGGAGGCATGTCAAACACTTCTCAAGTAAAGACAACAGAATCCCTACAAACAAATAGTGAGAACAAAGACAGATTTTCTGCTGAAGCTACAGATAGTGTTCAAGATCTGAAATCAAATTCAAAGAGAGCGAATCGTGTGAAAAATGAAATGCAAAGTGTTGTTAAAAAGGAACGAGACAGACAAGGTATTAGGAGATTCACAGCGACAGTTTGTCTACAGGATGTCCAGGACAGCAAAGAAGAAAACAGAAATAAATTTAGATCGAGAAGCAAAAGCCCAACAGGACTCAAAAACGAAGATGGAGTTGAAAGTAAACAGGGAGTTTCTTGTGCTGGAGGGAACAGAGTATTAGAAATACGGCGGACTTTTCTAGGGAAAGCTGCAAAAATCAACATTCCAGAGCCAAAAATCGAGCGGAACAAACCGATGTCTCCTTCCACGCAGTTAAACTCCAGGAATTCAAAGTGGGTTAACGCCTGTGGTAAATGGAAACGAATTGCAGTAGATGACAATGGGAATCCACTTCAAGGACAATTGTTCCCAGAAATGACCCCCGTGGTTTCAGATTCACTGTCAGAAATAAAAGAGTCAGAAAATGAAAGTAAAGAAAAGAAAGAACCGGCACAAAATGACGAGCTGCAGACAGTTCCATTCTCAGACAAGAGAGCAATGTTTGAAAAATCAAAACCCAAACAGCCACCAAAAGTCTTACCCAAGCCTTCAGAGGCCAAACGAAGGACTGTGGTCTCGTGTCTACAGCAATGGAAGGGTCGTGTTGCAGATAGGCGGAGCAGGGAGTTCGATGAAAAAGTTGACCATGCAACAAGTGCAAAGGAGGAAAAAGAACTGTCACCTATTAAACAACTCAAGAGTCACATAGAAAATATTGGTAATAACGATATTAAACAGTGTGAATTGTTTTGCCAGTTGGAAAGTAAAGAAGTTACCAGACCTGTATGTGCGGAAAAAACAAATGTACAAAATTCATTAGATAAGTCAAGCAAGGAAATGAAAAATGGTAATGGGTCTGATAATGAGAAAGCATGCACAAATATTTCATCACCAGTAACAATCGACAGCTCTGAAAATGTTCAGAATGTAATAACAGCCACAGAACACAGGAATACTGACCAAACTTATAATGGGATTAGTGAGCAAAGACTCTCAGAAGACCAAGAAAAATGCAAAGTTAAAAACAATTACAACGAAATCCCCTTGATTGACGCTGAAAGCAGTGACCTGGGTATGATACAAAAAGAAACTGAAGAAATTCAGGAAGAGGTAAAACCAGATGTTGACCCTTGCATGCCACAAGAAAATAAAGAGAGTTGTTTAATGCGAAGGGATAAAGTAAGTTCAAGAAGAAGAGAAATGAATTCAATTCGAGCTGCAGGTGTCTGGGATGCTGTCGTTGATAATAAAAAGATACAATCAACAAGGAATACCTGTGAGGAGAAAAGTGCTGATTTGGAAAGTAGTGATGAAACAACACCAACAAACACACCAAAAACTCGCAAAATGTTTGCAAACCCTGAAAAGGGGACAAACATACCGAGATATACACCAAAATTAAAAGCAGTAAAGATAAAGCAAGAAATGTTTCCCCTTGAAGGATCTCAAGAACGCACCAAATCTGTGACCGATTCATTAAAAGAGTCGCTGAAAACTCTCAACAGCAATGATGACAAAGATGATCATGTGAAATTCCACATAGATGATTCTGATGAGGATGGTTTAATTGAAGCACCAAATCTGGATTATTCGTTTGAAAACAAAATTTTGTATTCACCATCTATATTTGGAAATTACAAAAATTTTCAGAGCCATAAGCATTCGAATGTTGGTGTGCCAAGTTTCAATATGGTTGGAGAATATTTAGACAGGCACATCCTTCCTAGGCAAAGTGATGAGGTAAGAGTTCATTCTTATTTACCTCTATAAATAAACCAAGGTCCTTTTATGCATAAACATAGTACCAGGATGTGGAAACAAGAAATATTATCATTTGTTTGGGATATTCAGTTTCATTAATCTCTAATGTATTACACACTTAATATCTACTTAGAGTACAAGTACCTTACAAAAGCCCTACAAAATATCATAATGATAGTCCTAAAAACAGGTCTTGTTGAGACCTAAGCTTATCTCCATCTAATATATCGAATACAAAAGCAGAGTGTTTTGCAGAAAGGGTATACAAATTAATAATGTGTAAAGATACAGGTTCATGATGCTGAATTTCTAATTCAGATTTTTTAAAATATTTGCATTTTTGTTTATTTCAAAGATTTTCATACTGATTTCTTTAGATAACATTGAGAATTTGATTCCAGAATGAGTAATCACTGTGCTGCCATGGTTGAACATTCCAATAAACCCTAGCTTTTTTCAGATTAACTTTTCTTAGGATTTGTCATGACAAAAAATTGCAACTGATAAAGAAAAATTAAGATTATTTGAGTCAGTTTGATAAATCATTTTACAAAGAGAGATTGCTTAATAGGACTTCTCTACAAAGAAGTCTGCTTGCATTTGATATATTTGATTGACAAAGGTCTTTTGTCTCTGTGAAAACTAACCCCCAACCTGACCCAAAAACCCCTCCCAAGTGTAATAGTGTATTTCATGCAATTGTACTTGTTGTACGTACGAAAGTATTAGAGATGTTAAAGCATAAATTTGTTGTTGTATCAACATCTGTCTAGATGTAGATGAGAAGAATCCTAACTCATTTATGTATATCAAGTTTTGATTATACAGAAACATTTACAGACATTATTTACTGGTATGAAGTTAGTGTTTACTCTTCAGAAATTGTTTACATCACCTTAATTTTCTTCTTCCCATATGAAGTTTTTTCATGCTAGCTGATCACATCCGATAAAATTCAGTGGCTGTAAAGATTATACAATACAGAGACAATTATGTAACAACTCAATAGTAATGAGAGCATGATACACACATAATAGAGGAGAATTATGACTAACTTAAAATTACAGTTACATGTGCAAACAGTATCAGGAAATGTTAACAGAGGAAGTTCCCTACTGAAATTTAAGTAGAGAGAGGATACTATTTGTTTTAAAAAAAAGTGTATGATTTATATATATATGATCTTACTATGTGTAAATCGATCAGCACTGTGACAACTTCATGCTTTTCTCTGTCTTTAATCAGAAAAATCTTTCCTTTTTTGTGAATATTCTACAATAAAATTAATTAATATTCACAAAGTGTGAGTAGGAATTGGATACTAGTAAGGTTTATTGCTCTGTTTATTTATTTTTTTTTCAATTATCACATAGATATAAAATGCATGGTAATACTACATTTTTGACTGAATTCACAATCCAACCTACATGTAATAAATCTTTGATTTGATATAGATAGAAACCAACTTAATTTTCTTGAATCAAGGAAGTTTTTTCCCTTTATTTTTAAAACATTTTCCCATAACAGACACTTGGGTGTACAAGTTGTTACTTCCCTGCACATAATTGAAATTTATTTTTGAAAAATTTGGAACATGGATTTTAACAGGAAAATTGGCTATAATAGGATGAAGGGGCAAACATGTATCAATCAGAGCATTCAATATTGTGTTAGCATGTTTTTATTTTTGGGAAGGCAACATCCATTTAAAGTTCTGCTGAGAAAAATATTTTCCTCTAAATGAATTCTCTATACACAACAATATATCAATAAAACCTTGGGCAGTTGCTTCATCAGAACAATGAGCAGAAAGTGAAACTTAGGATTTGGCTTTATAAGGAAACCTTCTAGCTCCACAAACAAGTCCTTTGAGGTTATCATTATTGATTTTATGTGTTTCTTCATGTGCTGATTCATCAGAAATTTCAACTATCTCCAACTGCATTTCTGTTGCACAACATCTGTCTTATTTTGCTCCCATCTAATCAAATTATCGTTGACAGTTCCATGCATTGGGAGTATTGTGCAGATAGTTTTAAATTTATTGAACCTGTCTAAATTTTCATAAAATTAGAAGTGAATGGTTTGTTCCTGTGTTATCCATCTCTCAGTAAATCAGAATGCCTGCAATAAATATGTTACCATTTCTGAAAGTGAGGTTATCATCAAATTTCTGTTATTATGTAATTGGATTATCTATGATGCATGCCTTTTAAATTCTGGTAACAGTGAATACAGATGCTCTAAACAAAATAGCCATTGATGCTAGACTTGAAAAAATCTATGCAAGAAATGAATCTAACCTTTTTTTTCATTAATCTTGCTGTTTTAAAATATCCACTTAACATTTTCAATTTATGTGTCATGTGATTCATTTAGTGGTATTTAAAATCATTCAGACTTAAACTCATATTTCAAATCCGTAAGTTAAATATATATGAAAAGACCAAATTTTGTGAAACTGAGACATTCCTCAAGTTATGTAGATATTAAGTTCTGTAGTTAGATACCTGTCAAAGGAAAACATCTTCATTTTCAGTGATGAAATCCATTATCATTGTATGTCAAATGCGTGCAGTCGTGATATTGCCCCAATGCTTGTGAAAGGGATACACCAAAAGAAATGTAAAAACTTCTTATGGTAGTTGTCTAAAAGTTCTTCTGTAATGAAACAGAGTTTGGTGCTTTAATTTATATCATGTTTATAGACTTGCATGTAATGTGAGGCCTATAATTTCTGCTATAAGGCCAAAGTTTTTATTTTTTTTTGGTTTACGATTTTTTGACACAAAAATATGCATTGGGTGGTCGAAAAATAAAAATAAAAATAGTTTGGAACCTTGACATATTTTTTCTCGAGTAGCATTGAAATGTATTCAAATGGAAATAATAAGCACACAAGATTTTTCAACTTTTAAGATTATTTTTTTCTTGTCATTCGGTTTTAAGTCAAGAAAAATAAATCACACGTCAAATGACTCAAGAACAGAAATGGGAGTATCAGGCTCTGTTAATGGTTTTCTTCTTCCGACTTACAAGTCTGTATAATAGACACATATATTGCACTGGGACAAATATGGGTAAAATTTAGCAAATTTGCTATTCTCTGGTCAGCCTTTCCACTTACGAAAATTTTTTTGGAAACTCCGAAAGTGATTGCTTTTATTTACCTTAAGATATGTGTGTCCATAGACCCACCCGATTCACTTCTCCCTCAAAGTTTAATGAAATTTAGGGAGACCTTGGTGCATATACATTTAATCGTTATAAAACTATTTCATTGTTTAAAAATTTTTCTGTATAAACATTGTATTTAAAATGATTAAAAAAGATAAAAAGAATCTTAAAAGATATTTCTCCCAATTACTAGGTATTTAAATATTCAGAAAAAATAATAAAACAGCATTGACATTAAATAAAATTTACTACTACTACTATTAAACTGTAAGAGTTTCTTATTCAAGTTAAATTGTCAGATTAATTGTTCATCAAACTTTTTTTTTTTTCATTTCTTTATATATAGTAGTACAATCTTAAACTTCTAAAATTTCTCTTCTCATTAGATTTCCAGGCTTTTGGCATAGTCATAATTTTGTTAATTTCTCTTCAAACTTGTTTTCAATATAGAATTCTGTTTCTAATAAAAGTTTTGATGCACACCTGCATGCCAATTGAACAGCATGTTTATCGTCTGTCTTCTGATGTGTAACTTTAAAAGCTAATAACTTTACAATTTATCAGTAAAAATATGTCTGTATTCACAGCATGAATTAATTATTTGACAATAATAAAGATCTAAAATCTTCTCCAATGTCTTTGGCATGACATCGATAGCTGTCCAGCTGTTTTGCGTCTTGTTGTGTATCACTTGTAACGATGGACTTTTTCATACCCGGAAGTGTAAAATCTAGAGGAGTTCCGACGGAGTATTCGATGCATTGGTCTATTGGCAATGTGGTTTGACAATCTGTATTTGTAGAGTTCATTGAATGTTTGTGAGAGTTTGGGTTAATGATTAAGACGTGCTTTCGATTATTTTTATTTTCGTAAGTGCAGTTGGATCATTATGTGAATACAAGAGGTTAAAAATGATTTTATTACAGGAAAATGAAAGTTTTGAACATGCAGGACCAGTAAATTTATGACTTTTATTCATTTGTAACATGCACTTCTTTAAAATGCACAAGGGCTGCATGCATGAAAAGATTGATAATTGACACATGCACTTTGAGCATGATGTGATATGCCTGATGAAGCCCACATACATGTAAGAGTTGTCAGGATGTAGTATAGTTAAATGCATGAAGACATATATATACAGAATCTTTTGAAAAGAGCCTATTAATAATTATTACAAAGTTCATGTATTAACATACTCCTCAATATCTAATTAAGAGATCAAATTATTACAATATTAGCCTTCTTTTATCCAAAAACTCTTCTGCATGAACAAAAACATTTCAAAGTAAAATTGCCTTAGAGCTTAGGAAAGCTTATATTTTCAGAGAATTATTCTAAGATGCCCTGCAGAGGTCTCTAATATCTGATTTAATGTTAAATCGAGCCTCCAGCGAGTGCCAGATCACCATAATAATGCTTAACTAAACAGCAGCCTTGAACACATCTAAGAATAAATTTAAGCTGAAAGCTCCCACAATATTAATATACACCTACCAAGTTGATAAATACTGATTCTCAAATCTAAACAATGCTAAATCATGGATGTACCACAGTAAATGTCAGTATAATTTTTCATCTTGAAACAGGTTCAGCCCAGTTTCTAAAATATTCTATGCCAATCCTAACTTCCTTCCATTACAGTCTGTGGTATTTAAGTACTTACCCTGACAACATGAGGGTAAACTGCTGGCAATAACTTCATCCAAGGCAATATTTCCTGAGTTTTTTTCCGAACCTAAAACATAAATATTAATTTATTTTAAACAATTTTAAAATAAAAATCATCTTTTCTCTTCTCT